GAGAGAGAGCATGAATGGAGAGAGGGGCAAGGGGAGAGGGAGAGAAGCAGACTCCCCACTGAGCGCAGAGGCCAGTGCAGGGCTCGATCTCACAGCTCTGAGATCGTGACCTGAGCCGAAACCAAGAGTCAGGTGCTTAACCGAATAAGCCACTCAGGCGCCCCACCTTTACTTCTGCTACATCCTACTGGTCACATAGATCAACCCTGGTAGAATGTGGGATGAGACTACACAAGAGATCTTTGGGGGCCATCTTGGAGGCTACCATACTTACTGCATAAAAGAAATACCTATCCTTCACTGATACCCATTGTATTGATCCTTCACTGCTACTACCATTGTGCATTCTTGATGTGTAAAAACTTCCAAGATGCCAAATAAAGGAGAAGTCTCCTTTAATGATTAACTTAAGGGACTGTACACATAAGGGTTTCTTTCTTTTCTTGTGCAGAAAAGGATAAACCATGTTAGAAACACTATATTTTGTTCTGTGGTGGGATATTCTTAGTTCTGATACATGGTAGGTAGTAATGACATAGGTGGGAGTAATGACAATTTTCTTTAAGGTCCTTACCTCTTTTGTTCCCCAGCTGTTGACAATGAATATAGTGCTTTTAAGAGGGAGTACAATGAGAGTACAGAAGTGAGAACATAGGAAGATTTGAACACAAAACTGTGTCCTCTGTGTTTAAATGTAAACAGTGCTTTTGGCTAATCTTAATACTCATCCCTATGATGTGTCATTTTCTGTAAAGAAAAACCTTTAAACATCCAAAATAATATGAATTAGTGAAATAGAATCTTTTAAACATAACTGGAGTATTCTGAGACTCCCAAAATTTTGAAATTACATTGACTAACCCATTCTTTCATATAAGTTGTGATTCAGAAAAACTGTTAAAAGCCGTTTTGCCAAATTGTTACATGTGTGATATTTTTGACTTCATGTTAAAATAAAATAAAAGCTGGCTGCCAGACTGATTAGTTCCTAGCATGATCACCATCTCTAACAAAATTCATGTGTTATTCCTGACTTTTATACTTGGTTTTATTTTCTTATTTCCAAAATTTAATACCGAAGTTTTATATATGTCCACATATTTACTAAAGGCATATTGTATTTTTTATCATACTCCTCTTTTTGCAAGTAACTTAGAATTCCATCTGCGTTATTATAAATTATGAGAAACAGCATTTAAGTAATGAGAAGTGATTTATTACCTTGTTTTTAAGGTACATGAATGGATAAAACAATCATGTTGGATTTAAATAATCTTAATCTTAATGACTTTCATAATTTTTTAATTTATTTCTCAGTGGTTTTCATAATATTCCACAATGCATATTAACATGTTTATTTGAATTGAAACATGAAGTTAGACTTTTCCTGAGGGATAGTAAATACAATTGACTTAATTGTTTGTTTGTAAGGGCTGGGTTTGCTAATTAGGTTTTAGGGTGGGCATTTATTGGTAAATTAAATACACTAAATTTGCAGCTCCGAGTTTTTAACTAAAAAGTATGTTGCTGAGATGCCTGGTGGCTCATTCTGTTAAGTGTCTGACTTTGGCTCAAATCACGATCTTGGGGTCCTGGGATCAAGCCCTTAGTTGGGCTCCCTGCTCAGTGGGGAGTCTGCTTGTCCCTCTTCCTCTGCCCCTCCTCCTGCTTGTGCTCTTTCTGTCTCTCTCTCAAATAAATAAATAAAGTCTTAAAAAATAATTAAATAAAGAAAAATAAAAAATATGTTGTTAGTTCCCAAAAAAAGCCCCATTCATCATATTAAGAGATTCATTTCCAATAAAAATTTACTTTTGGTTATATTAATTATCACATAATATACTTAGATTGTATTGATCAGTTATGTGCTAATTGTAATGATAATTCAACCTAGAAGGAGAAAACTACCTTAACACCTAAAGCTTTATGGCCTCAGAGATAAAATAAAAATAAAAACATATTATATTAGAAAATATAGTATTAGAAGGGTACCTGGCTGGCTCAGTCCATAGAGCATGTGACTCTTATCTTGAGGTCATGAGTTTGAGCCCTACAATATGGGATAGAGTTTACTTAAAAAAATAAATATAGCATTAAAAAAATAACACATTAAATTTGAAAAAAAACCAGTAAGAGTGGTAGTCTGGAATATAAGTTAAAAAAGAAAAAGGAGGGGCACGTGGGTGCCTCAGTCGGTTAAGCATCTGCCTTTGGCTCAGGTCATGATCCCAGGGTACTGGGATCGAGCCCCACCTTGGGCTCTCTGCTCAGCAGGGAGTCTGCTTCTACCTCTCCTCCTCCCCCCGCTTGTGCTCTCTCAGTCTCTCTCAAATAAATAAATAAAATCTTTAAAAATTAAAAAAAAAGAAAGTAAAAGGAGGGGTACCTGGGTGGCTTAGTTGGTTACGTGTCCAACTCTTGATCTCAGCTCAGGTCTTGATCTCAGGCTTGTGAGTTCAAGCCTCACATTGGGCTCCATGCTGGGTACAGAGCCTACTTAAAAAAAAAAAAGGAAAACTATAAACTTTCTAAATGTGAAAGAAGAGTGTGTTCATATGTTTTTTAAGTGATTGTAGGTAACCATTGGGTATGTTTAAATGAGGATGTAATAGTTTTATTTATAACATACTTGAAATTATATCCTTTACATTATTTAAACTCATAGTGAAAAAAATTTAGTTACCAAAATAAAACTGTGAGGGGGACCATAGTTTTTTTAAAATTCTTTTAAATGAGTATAAAAATACTGGAAGAATTGCCCTAAGGGATACCTAGGTAAACATTTTCTGCATTGTGAGTTTATTTTTTATGGCATTAAGAGAAGTCATTTTTTTATAACTACTTAAATATTAAAGAAAGTTATCAGAAAAAAATTTTTTTCAGTGAAAATACGAGTTTTGACTTTTTTCCCCTCTTGGATTGTCTTTTGGAGCCTTGAGTAAGGGAATGGATTCCCAGCCTTTTCTTCTCATTCTGGGTGGATTCTCCTTTTAAACAGAGAGGAAGACAGAAGAAATGGGTATATAGTCATTCATTTACTTGTTCATTCATTCATTCAACAAATAGTAATTGATTGCCTTCCATGTGCCAAACATTGTGCTAAGGGATCAGGATACAGTGGTGAACTAGTTGGACAGGACCATGTTCTAACAGACTTAGAGTGGTAAAGAGATCTCTGTCATCCAATATGGTAACTACTAGTTTAAAAAAAAATTTTTTTTTTAAAGATTTTTTTATTCATTCATGAGAGACACACAGAGAGAGAGGCAGAGGGAGAAGTAGGCTCCCCACGGAGCAGGGAGCCCAATGCAGGACTCGATCCCAGGACCTTGGGATCATGACCTGAACCAAAGGCAGATGCTTAACCAACTGAGCCACCCAGGTGCCCCCACAACTATTTAAATTTAAATTAATTAAAATTAAAGAAAACTAAAATTCAGGGTCTCAATACTTACTATTAGCCACATTTCAAGTGCTCAGTAGCCACATCCATCTAGCGGCTATCATATAAGACAGTGCGGATATAGAAAATGTTCATCATCACAGAAAGTGCTATTAGACAGTGGTATGATAGACTACTAATTAAGAAGTTATAGCATAGTGTGGTAAGTGCAATGATACGGATATGCAGGTTACTATGGGATAACACAGACAATAACAAGCCTCAAGAAGTTGAGGAAGGCTTCTAAAGAAGTGACATCTATAGGGAGTCCTTAAGGGTGAATGAAAGTCATATAGAGAAAGAGAACTGGGAAGCACATTTCAAGAATAATTTGTACAAAAGCCTGGAAATAAAAAGAAAATGGTATATTGAATATACTGAGATGAGGCAGGAGATGAAGGAAGATGCCAGATCATGTAGGGTCTTATATAACATGTTCAGACATTTATGCTTGACAGCTGATTTCTTTATTTAGTTCTCTTACTGACAGCCATATTTTGAGTTGGTCAGTCAGAAATCTGTAAAACCTTAGTGATAAGTTGGGCAACTGTAAAATTGCTTGAATTTATAGTTAGTGTTCATAATTGTCATGATAACAAAGTTACTGTTTTTGAACTATAAAGCCAAAAACTTATTTTTGACATTCAGTATGAAATACCATTTCAGTGTTTTTGTTTTATTTGCACATGTTAAATAATTTTTTTATTACTTCCATATGAGAGAACCAAAGAGATGTTATAATCAGTTCACAGAAAAGATCAAATAACAGGAAAAATTATATGGAGTAAAGGAATGTGGAGAGGAATTGTAAATGAAGGCAAAACTATTTTTTTTTAGAGAGGGGAGGAAATCAATTAAAATCATTACCAGACAAAATACTTTTACGTATTTAACAGTTACCTAAACAGAAAGAGATCCAAAATAGCTCAGAGACAGTGAACAGAAGTAGAATCTGATAACCTGGGAGGATATGATATAAATGATGCAGTTTCCATTGAAATACACAAAAGCCATTTCAGTGTTTATATTCCATTTGTTAGAAAACTTAAAATGACACTTAGGGGTAAAGAAGTTATCTGTTTGGGGCGCCTGGGTGGCTCAGTTGGTTAAGTGACTGCCTTCGGCTCAGGTCATGATCCTGGAGTCCCGGGATCGAGTCCCGCATCGGGCTCCCTGCTCGGCAGGGAGTCTGCTTCTCCCGCTCCCACTCCCCGTTTGTGTTCCCTCTCTCGCTGTGTCTTTCTCTGTCAAATAAATAAATAAAATCTTAAAAAAAAAAAAAAAAAAGAAGTTATCTGTTTGGGTGCCTGGGTGGCTCAGTTGGTTAAGTGTCTGACTCTTAGTTTTGGCTCAGGTCATGGTCTCAGGGTTGTGAGATCAAGTCCTGCATCATGCTCCCTGCTTAGTGGGGTGTCTGCTGGAGAGTTTCTCTCTCCCACTCCCTCTGCTCCTCCCCCCACTCATGCCCTCTCTATCAAATAAATAAATAAATCTAAAAAAAAAAAAGTTATCTGTTCTGCAGTGTGTGTGTTTCATTACTTTGCTGATTTTACTTTAGGGTGATGAAGAAACATTTGAAAATTATTACCGAAAACAAAGAAAGAAACAAGCAAGACTTGTATTGCAACCCCAGTCAAATATGGTAAATATGTGAAAATTTTGTATTGGTTGTGTTGTCACTTTTTGCCTCTTACCCTGCTTTAATTTCTTCAGAGCATGTATCACTATTCATTCAACAACAAATACTTATTGAACACCTACCATTTCCAGTAATTGGTTTAGGTGCTAAGGGTACAGCAATGAACAAAACAGGTGAGTTCCTTCTCTCATGAGCTTACATTCTATTAGGGAAGATAGATAGTAAATAAATAAAATAGGCAGTGAATAAATAAAGAGATAAACAAGTAGATATATAAAGTATCAGGGAGTGATAATTCATTTCTGACAATATGGTGGACTATGTACTTTGATTAATTGTTCTAGTGAAAAAACAAAGATGCTGGATAAAACATTTAAAAAATTTTTAAATTATTTTTAAATGCACTGAGGATTTGATAGAAAAGTATAGTCAGGACAAAAATTAAGTGAATATGGAATTGCTCTATATTCGGTTATGGTGGTAATTATGTGACTAGATGTGTTTGTGAAAACTTGTAGAAACAGTGCATGAAAAAGTGAGTTTTATTGTATGTAACTTATACCTCAGTATATCCAACTATAAAACAAAACATGAAAACTTAAATGAAGGCAGAAATCCAGATAGGTTTGGAGCATCAGGGTGGCTCAGTCAGTTAAGTGTCTGCCTTTGGCTCAGGTCATGATCCCAGGGTTCTGGGATTGAGCCCTGCATTGGGCTCCCTTTTCTAAAGGGAGCCTGCTTTTCCCTCTCCCTCTGCCTGCCACTCACTCTGCTTGTGCTCTCTCTCTCTCTCTGTTAAGTAAATAAATAAAATCTTTTTAAAAAAAGAAGAAAGAAATCCAGACAAGTTTAATGAAGTACTGATTGTGGCTTTTATCTTAGGGGCATCTGCTGAACGGGAAAGCATGAATTTTGAGGACATGGGAATACAGAGGCCTAAGCCCAGAGCCACCTGAAGTAGCTGATAAGAGGTTGTCTCCCTTAGAAAGTGGAGACTCCAAAGAATTAGAGCCTCATTATTAGGATTACCTAGAGATCAAAAACATCTCTTGGCACCTGGCTGTCTCAGTCAGGAGAGCATGCAACTCTTGATCTTGGAGTCATGAGTTTGAGCCCCTGCTTGGATATAGAGATCACTTAAAATAAATAAATAAATAAATGGACACAATGTTATAAAAAAAACCTAACAAAACCTCTCTGTTCTTTCTGCTAAACACTGTAGGGAAATTGCCTGTCTTAAATGTTGGTGCTGAAGGAACGAGGGGAAAAAGATCTCTGAGAATCCATAACAAGCTGTTTCTCACATATATTTGCAACCCAGATTCATTCTGTTTGGATAGTCAAAAAAAAAATCTCAAGTTGAAAATTCAGTTTAAAGTTATTCCATGCTGATATTGCCCAATAGAAACAAATGCAGATCTCTGAACTTTCATGTCATAATTTCAAGGAAAATTAGCAAATAACAGTAAAAAATAATTATCAAACAAGTGCAAATCACTAAAAATATTGGCAATAGAAATAAATCCCAAGAGACCTTCAGTATTTGAATTATTAGCCATTTAATATAATAACTCTTTAATATATTTAAAGAAATAAAAGACAAGCTTGTTGATATAAATAGGGAACAAGAAACTGTAATGACCAAAATGAAGAAAAATCCAGTAGAATACCTAGAAATTAAAGATATATTAATCAAAATTAAAAGTTTTATGAATAACGGGGCGCCTGGGTGGCTCAGTCGTTAAGCGTCTGCCGTCGGCTCAGGTCATGATCCCAGGGTCCTGGGATCGAGTCCCGCATCGGGCTCCCTGCTCAGCAGAGAGTCTGCTTCTCCCTCTCCCACCCCCTCTGCTTGTGTTCCCTCTCTCACTGTGACTCTCTCTGTCAATAAATAAAATACTTAAAAAAAAAAAAGTTTTATGAATAGGTTTAGCAATTGGTGAATTCTAGTTGATCTGGAGAAATTATCTAGAAAGCCTCACAGAGAGACAAGAGGATAAAAATACAGAAGAGCGAGGAAGTCTAACATATCTAGTTGGAGTTACAGAAAGAGAGGATAGAAAAGTTGAACAGAGGAGTATTTGTAGGCATAATGGCTGAGAATTTTCCAGTATGGACAGGAAATAGAAACTTAGAGAGTCAAACCCAAGGAATCCCAAATAGGTTAAATAAAAAGAAATGCACTCTGGGAGAACTTACAGTGAAACTGCAGAACACAAAGATAGAAAATAGAAGACCTGAAAAATAGTATCCGTTAACTTGAGCTAATTGACATTTATTGAATATTCCACCCCAAACAGCAGAATGCACATGCCTTTCAAATGCATGTAGAAGGTTTATCAAGATAGATCATATTCTGGGCTATAAAATAAATCTCAACAAGTATAAAAGACTTGAAATCACAGAAAGTATGTCTTTTGACCACAAGATAATTAAATTATCTATATGCAAAAAAAAAAAATGAGTATTGACTTTTACCTCAGCAATTCAAGAAATGGATCATGGACCTAAATGCAAGAGCTAAAAATTAAAACTTTTAGAAAAAACAAAGGTTTTTGTGACCTTGGGTTAGGCAGTATTTTCTTAGGTGAGATACATAAAGCATGAACCATAAGAGAAAGAAATTGATAAATTGAACATCAAAATGAAAAACTACTCTTCAAAAGGCATTGTCAAGGGTGCCTGGGTGGCTCAGTCAATTGAGCATCTGCCTTTGGTTCAGGTCATGATCCCAGGGTCCTGGGATCGAGTCTGGCATCACACTGCCTGCTCAGCTGGGAGTCTTCTTCTCCCTCTGACCCTCCCCACTCTTGTGCTCTCTCTCTGTAATAAATAAACAAAATCTTTAAAAAAAAAAAAATCATAAAGGCATTGTCAAGAAAGTGAAAAGACAAGACACAGATGGGGAGAAAATACTTATAAAACTCATATCTAACAAAGGGCTTGTATTCAGAATATATAAAGAATTTGTGTAACTAAATAATTAAAGACAAACTAATGGATAAAAGGTCCAGGTAGACATTTTACTAGATACACAGATGAAAAACACACGAAAAGATGTTCAATGAGTGAGACACCACTACATACCTACTAGAATGGCTGAAATTAAAGACTGATAATAGCAAGTGCTGGTGAGATGTGGAGCAACTGGAACTCTCATACACTTCTGGTGGTATAAAAATTATGCTGCCACTTTGGAAAGTTGTTTGGCAATTTGTTATAATGTTAAGCATACACTTATCATACAACCCAGCAGTCTTGCACCTAGGTTTTTACTCAGGAGAAATGAAAACAATGGAATATTTTAAATGCTAAAGGAAGATAACTGTTAATCTAGGATTCTATATCCAGAAAAACAAAGGCAAAGATAGACATTTTCAGACAAAGAAGAGGAGAGTTGGCCAATAAGCACCCTTACTAAGGAAATTCTAAAGAATCTACTTCAGGCAAAAGGAAAGTGATGCCAAATGGAAGATAAGAGATGCTAGAAGGAATGAATAGCAAATAAAGTATAAATATGTGGGTGAATCTATGTCAACTGTAGAAAATAATGTTAATAAAATATTATGGACTTTAAAACAAGATAGAATTAAAATACACAACAACAAAAGCATAAACATGAGGTGGGAGTTAATAAAATGAATCCATGCTACAATTTTCTGTATTGTCCAGAAGAGTAAAAATACTGATTGATTTTAGAGTTTGATTACTTAAGTATGCGTAATGTAATTTCTGGAGTAAGCAGTAAAAGAGTAGAAACAGAGTATATATCTTCAAATAATATAAAAAGATCTAGAATGATAAAAAATAAAATATTCATGTCTTAGAGTTGATAAAAAATGATAATTGAAACCTATAAACACTTGATAACATTGACTCAAAAATGTATAATGCCAGATTGCCACAACTAAAAGGATAAGTAGAAAATCCATAGTGGATTTTTAAGCATGTCTCAGTATCTAATAAACCAAACAGATAGAATATCAGTAAGAATACACAACATGCTTAATAGACTTGATCTAATGAACCATGTAGAAGCCTGTTTCATCAACTGTAGAAACATCTTCTTTTCAAGCACACATAGCACATTATAAAATGTGACTATATACATGTTATAAAGCAAGTATCAAGAAATGTCAAACATCTGGTGTCGTGTAAACTCCTCTCTCTCTGATCATAGTATTTTAAAGCTAAAAGGTAAAAACATTTGTTTTCCCACAGCCTGAAAAAACCCCAGATGTTTGAAAATTTTTATTGCATTTATGAAATATGCAAAATACAACATTTGAACTTAATTAAAATAATGAAATATTTCATGTAATAAACTTCTAAGAATGAAATTCAAATAATCAGATATTTTCCTGTATGCCTTTTGTTAAAATTATTAACAGGCAATTATGGATCATTTTTAAGGAGTTTGACTTTTATTATGAATCAGATATAAAGTCATTCGAAGGTTTTTAGTAGAAGATATAATGATCTGATTACTCTTTGAAAAGTATCATTCTGACAGCTATCTGGAGAATAGACTGCAGGGAGCAAGCCTGAAAGCCGGGGAGACTGGGTAGGAGAATGATGTAATAGCACAAATAAGAAATTATGGTGGCTTGAACTAGCTTGCTGAGAAGAGGGTTCTGAAATCATATTTACTTTTTAACTTGTTTATTGTCTATCTCCTTTTGAATGTAAGTTCCATGAGGGTAAGGACTTTTTGGTTTTTAGTAGTGTATCTCTGGTGCTTTAAAAATGTGTGCAGCATATAGTAGACTCTATATATTTGTTAATAAATGTTGTAGTGACTTGGACTTACTTTTATGTTACCAGTATTTATTGGTGTAAATTGATTTTTATTTTTCATTTGAAGCATGAAACAGTTGATGGCTATAGAAGATATTTCACTCAAATTGTAGGGTATGTATCTAATACAGAAATAACTATTATTTTTACATTATGTTAAATGTCAGAACTGCTTGTTTTCTGTTTGGGTTTTAATTTTTTTTTTAACACATGTTATGTTGGTAATTACTGTCTTTAGGTTCTTTGTGGTGGAAGATCACATTTTACATGTGACCCAAGGATTAGTAACCAGGGCATACACTGATGAACTTTGGAACATGGCCCTCTCAAAGATAATTGCTGTCCTTAGAGCTCATTCAGTAAGTCAGACAAATTATGTTACTAAATTTTTAATTCAGTTACTTCAAGAACTTCTGAAATGTATAATGTCAGAAGAAAACCACACCTCCAACATTCTGCATTTTTTGGTAACAGCTCAGATTTGGAAGTAGTAATGTTAAGCTTTTGTTTGGTAATACTGGGCTGTGATTTTGCAACTGTCTGGGGCTTCCCAAGGCACTTTTAGTCCAGCATTATAGAAAATGAAGAATTAAGCTGGTCTCATTAGTCTCAACTGACCTCTTCATTAGATCACTGAAAAGCACCGTGAAGAAAGGGTTTTTAATTATCATTCCAAATTCTTTGTTTCCAAAATAAACTCTGCCATTAAAACTCAATTGAACTTGTTCTTCGATGTTTATAATTTGTTTGCAGTAATACAATTACAAATTTCTTAAAAATATGCAATTGTCAAAATTTGAACTCTTTTAAAATAATGAACCTTTATGTATTGAGAGATTTTTTTATGAATGAAAGTAAAATGTTCAAATATTTTGCGTAATACACCTTTTGTGGAAGTAATATGTTAGTGTTATTTTAAAGACTGTTGAAATTAATAATTGCTTATTATAGACTTTTTCTTAAGACAATTTTAGTAGTTTACCTTCAGTAAAATCTCCCCATACTTAAAATTTTGTAATTATTATTTATAATTTTATTATTGAGAATAGAGATTGAAAATATTTTAAAGGCTTATTAGTTTATATAGTATTTAGATTATAAATATACTACATTTTTATTTATAGGATTGAAGATTCTTTATATAGTATTTGTCCAATGAACTATAACTTTTTCTAACATATTAATAAAGAACAATATGTTTTATCATGGTTTACATTCAGACCAGCTCTGAATATGTAAAATTATAGTATACTTTCTGTTAATTATATGACATCAAATACAGAGTCATAAGGTATTAAATGCAACATATCACACTAAAAATCTTATTAAATGCCGTTAAAGGGACAGAGTGAGTTTCACTACCCCTTTGAAACTAATTAGTTTCTTTTGGTGAATTAATAAGAAAATACTTCAATTGTCATTCTTATATTGGAAAAAGTAATATGTCTCTTTTATAAGAGTAAAAAATAGTAGAAAAGTAAAAATATGTGGTCTATATATAAACCATTTTTCAGTTTAAATATAAGTAGTTCCTTAAAATCTAGGGACTTTTAGAAATATAAACATCACCGCTTTGACCAAAGGTTAGTGTGTGCAAATTTCAGGGAAATTTCTTTTCATATAATACAGATACTAAAAGTACATTATGTTATGGTCTTTCCCTAAGAATTTTTACTGAATAGAGGAAACCAGCAATGGATCTAACTAATGACCAAGATTTTAAATTTATTGTAAGTCTGGTATACTAAGGGAAACATTTTCAGGTTTTATTTGTTTTTAACCAAATGACTATGGTTTGTATTTGTTTCTTTGTTTGTATTTCCATCCCTCCACCTCTCTCCCCCAGTCTTACTGTACTGATCCTGATCTTGTTCTGGAGCTGAAGAATCTCATTGTAATATTTGCAGATACTTTGCAGGTGGGTGATAATCTAACATTCATTTAATGGCTATTTTGACCACTTAAAGATATACAAAATATAGAACATGCTCATTTAGTTTATTATGGATTGATGGTAGTAAATTAGTAGTAACCAAATGTTTGCTTATATATTGGTATTCCCTATTACCCAAGACTTGTCATTCTCCCCTGCTTCCTAATTATGAAGCTTGGACAGAGTTCAGGAAATATTACCATCTTTTAAAATACTGGTCATTCAGTTAGAATAAAGTTTTTGTTTGTTTGTCTAGATAAAGTATTTTTGTAGTTAAAAAAAAGTACATGGTATAGTGGAAAAAACTCTGAACTAGAAATGAGAAGATACAAGTTCTGCCTTAGGACAAGGAGCATAGGCTCTGGGAGTCACACAAGACCCTGAGTTTGTATTCCACCTCTGCTATTGACTAATTGTATGTTTACAGGTTTTCTAAGTTTTAGATCCTCATTGGTGAAAATGAGTTTATTACTAGTTTTCGGGATTGTTTTGAGTTTTAAGTGTGATAACAAATATGAAAACATACAGTTTGAAAGCTGTATTCACTAATTTCCTTCCTAATTTCAGGTGTACTATGACTGTGAGCAAATCACTTTACTTCTTTGTGTCTTGTTTTTTTTCTTTTTAAAAATAAGATCAGATAAGATTAAAATTGAATTGTCTCAAAACCCAATGCCTTTGTGATTTTCACTATCAAAGTTTTAAGCTTGTCCCTTTTTCTTGATCATGGAATTGATTGCATTTTGTTTTCATGTTTAAACTTTTGGGATTTTTATGGTTGGAAGAACATTTCGTGAAATACAGATTAGTATTTTTCAAAGTGTGATAATAGATGTTACTTTAAAAAGAGTTCTGTGTTCTAAAACATTTGGGAAATAAGTGAAGTAAAACAAATTTCTTCACTAAAAGCCTTTCTCAGAGCAAATTTATACCATATGATTCCAAAAGGAAGGTGCTTATGCAGCATTTTCCCAATAAATTTGACCCTTGAATCTTTTTTTCCTCCATATGACATCTTACAGATTTAGAGCTTCATATAATATGCTTTGGGAAATGCTAATTCAGACTATTTGCTTCATCACAAGAATCTTTTCATCCTAGAATAATAGTTGTCTACTTTATTCTTAAGCCTAAAAAGATTCCACATACTCCTTTAGAAAATTATTTTATTGTCTAGATATATCTTTATTAATTTCTCTGCCTTATACTGTAACATGGGGATAATGTGGATTTTGTTTTGTTTTGTTTTCATAAATTTTGTGACAAATGTATCTGTAATACTGATTTCTCTGCAAAAAAACTTTTGGTAAGTTTTATCAGAGACTATCTTAATTTTTTTAGGCCTATCTCTAAGTAACTTGAGGGAATTTTGCTATCCTTAATGACTAAAATCATTACTACTCAAAGCATGGTGGGGTACCACTCACTGGTCTGGAAATGGTTACAGTCCACAAACTGTTATGGATCCATAGCAAAAAGGAGCTTCTGTCAGAATGTAAATCAACTACATCACTAAGTACAAATTTTAGCTCAATTGGCATTTATTTTGAAGCAAGATTTTCTCGATGTAGGTTAGCCGCATTGATTTATATTCTGGTACAAGCTCCTTACCTCTTTGTAAACCATAATGAACTGTTCTGAACTGGCACTTTGAGTACAACTGAGTGTAGAATATGTGCTGTGGTTCCAAGGATCTCTAGAGAATCCGAGAAGAGTAATAGACAATATTCAGGTAATGGAGGCTTTAGAAAGTCACACTAATGGATGTATAAACCCTTGTAAGTATACCTTTCTAATCTTACTGCTGAAATATGATTGAGGAAGACAAACCAGTCCTTATTACTTATTCAGCAGTCCTGCAGTATTTTCATTCCACTGAAAGTTGACAGGCTGAGTATTAGGTGAGTCTTATACATAATTAGTAAATGCTGACTTTTTAAGTTATACTTTTTTTTTTTTTTAGACAGAAGTGGGGAGGGGCAGAGGGAGAGAGAATCTCCAGCAGGCTCCATGCCCAGCATGGAGCCCAACAACCCTGAGATCATGACCTGAGCCAAAATTAAGAGTTGGGACGCTTAACTGACTGAGCCACCCAGGCGCCCCTTAAGTTATACCTTTTAATTGAAGAATTGGGGAGGGTCTTTTAATAAAAATTAAAGAATATTGAATGATACTTAGTTTTTAAAGTTGGCACTTTGCCACCCTAAGGAAAAATTTCTTTTCATATTTCATTTTATTACTTAAAGCTAACTAAACAATAACATTAACAAGTAACTCCAGCATATTATAGTTCTGTTTATTGCTTATTAAGTAAATCAGAAGTAAACATTTATGATTCATTCACTGACATTTTTTGAGCACCCACCATGTACTTACACCGTAACACTGTATATATATATATATATATATGTATATATATACACACACATAAGCTAGATGATGTGTAAAACAATAGAGACAAAAATCAGTAAGACAGTGAGATATAAAAATCCTTCAAGAAATTTACGGTTTAGTTGTAAACAAATAAGATGTATAAGACATATTAATATAGCAGTATATTAACAAGCTTTGAGCTCGCAGAAGATGGAATGTCTATCTTTGATTCTGGGAGTTGGGAAAGTCTGTATAGAAAGTTGAAATGTGAGTTGGAAATTAAAAGATGAGTTCAGCAGGTACATATTAATAAAGGGGCATGAATGGCAGAGAAAATAAAATAGCATGTGTAAACTATAGATGGAGGGATAGTATGGTGAGCATGAGATTGGTCAAGCAGCTTGATTGTGATAGAAACTTTAGTAGATGGATATGAGCAAAGAAGGGCAAAGAGTGGTAATGAAACTGACAAGGTAGTTTGACCCAAATTATGGCAAGACTTGTGGGACTTTAATAAGTCTTTGGTAGTTTTTAACCAGTGGAATGGCATGATCATATTTGTACTTTAAATGATAATTTGGAGAGCCTTGGCAATAGATTGAGTTGAAAGAGACAGATGGTTGGAACTTCAGTGTAGGCAACAGTTGTGAAGGACTGAAATAAAGCAGTGGCACTGGGAATACTTCTGGAAAAAAGTAAGTGATGGAGAAGAATGATAGATTTGAGATTTGTGAAGGAGGTAAAATCAAAAGAATTTGGTGAATGATTAGATATGTTTGTGTGTGGGGTCATTTAGATGTTTTTCAAGTTTCTTTCCTGATAAATTGAATTGATGGTTGAACTATTAGCACAGATAGGAAATAGGAAAAGCACTTTGTCTAGTTGAAAAGGGAAGAGATAAGTTAACTTTAGCATGCTTGTTGGCAGACTGACTGGAGATGTCTAACAGGTGTTGGAATTAAATATTTGGAACTTCCAGAGGTATAACTAGAGATGTAGATTCAGGATAATCAGAGAAAATAGTGTTTGAAGTCAGTAGACTTCAGATTATGCTAGAGACCTAGAAGAAAAATCTAAGGATGGAGATAGAAGAAAAAGGGAAACTGGAAGGACGACTGTTCATAGATAAGACAACAAAGAGAGAGAGCAGTGTTACAGAATTCAAAGCAGACTAGTTTCAAAAGAGGTAATGCAGAGTGAGAGATCATTGACTTTTATATTTAGGAGATAATCTGTGACATTGTTGAGAGCAGTTTTAAAGGAATAGGAGTGGCAGATTGTAGTAGGTTTGGCTGTGAAGAGAGTAACAAAAGGAAGCATCTGGCAGAGCACAGCAAATCGAGGAAGGGCTTTTTTATTTTTTCTTACTTTTCTTGGTTTAAGGATGGGAGGTAATTAGCATATTTATTTAGCCAAAAGAAAGGAACTAGTGGAAATTAAAGACAATAGTGAATAGATAGTCCGTGGAGCAGTTCCTGCAGGAGTATGATAAAAAATAAAGAAGAGGGAAACCCTGAAGGGAAAAGGGACAACTCTGTGATGCAGCAGAAATCTTTGTTCCTGAAATGGGTAAAATTTCAATGACTTTGGAGTTGGAAAGGAATAAAGTTTTGTTGGAGAGTGTATGTTTAATGAGAAGGTGTATATTTTCCCTAAATAGTGAAGTCGATCTTAAATTGAAGGTGCAAAAGGAAGCCAGTGTGTTTCAGACAAAATATATTCCCTTTTCTTCTTTTATCCTTTTTAGGGATCACTTTCCAAGACACCATATGTAGATCACTAATCCTTTACTTTTTCTTCAGTTTTGACTTCTAATACTTTTTAAGGTTAACAATGTAATCCAGACTGAAAAGAGAGAGAAGAAATGGAAAAATTATTCCAGTTCCATAAAACTCTTTCTAGACTCTTTCTTACTTAATGCAACCTAGTAGAAAGTCAAAAGTATATCTTCTTTTCATGCTGTTGGAATGACATACAATATGATAGAGTGATCACTTTCAAACAATTCTTCAGTATTCCCAACATTTCTGTAATGAATATATTTACTTATTTGACTTGTTTATCTGCTTTTGTTGTGTTTGTTTTAGGGTTATGGTTTTCCAGTGAACCGACTTTTTGACCTTTTATTTGAAATAAGAGATCAATACAATGAAACACTTCTTAAGAAATGGGCTGGAGTTTTCAGGTTAGTCAAAAGCCATGGAACCTTAATGTAGTAGTGAAAAGCTTGTCAAATGCTAAAGTGATTGATTTTACATTTAGCAATAAAAAATGCTTATGATAATTTTTTTATTATCGTAAAATATAATAACAATTTTGCCATTTTAATCTTTTTAAAATGTACAGTTCAGTCACATTAAGTACATTTACATTGTTGCAACCATCCCCACTATCCTTCAGAACTTTTTCATCTTCCCAAACTGAAACTGTACCAATTAAACATTAACTCCCTAGTCCCTTCTTCTAGCCCCTGGCAATCACCATTCTACTTTGTCTCTATGAATTTGGCTACTCTAGGTACTTCATATAAGTGGACTCCTACAGTGTTTGTTTGTTTTTTTTAATGTCTGGATTATTTCATTTAGCATAATGTTTCCAAGGTCCATCCATGTTGTAGCCTGTATCAGTAGCTCATTCTTTTTAGAGGCTGAATAATATTCCATTGTATGGATATGACCACATTTTATTTATCTGTTTATCCATCTATGGATATTTGGGTCATTTGTACCTTTTTGCTGTTGTGAGTAATGCTCCTGGGAACACTGATGTACAAATATATGTTTGAGTTCCTGTTTTCAATTCTTTAGGATATATATCCAGAAGTGGAATTGCTGGGATTATATGGCACATATGTTTAATAAATTGAGGAAGAAGAACCAGCATACTGTTTTTTCCAGAGTGGCTGAACCATTTATAATAAATTTTTAATTATACTACTTTTGGTTCTAATCTCTGTAGTTCCCCTCCCCCCCCAACCAGTAAATGATTAGATATAAGGCTGTAAGTATTCCAAGGTATTTAGTATTAGAAACAGAGATTTATAGCTTTTAAATTTTGTTCGGAGAAAGTGTTATTTTTATAAACAACATAACTAGATTAAAAATCTTTAAAGCATCTAATTAGGAAAATTACTTTTGCTTTAATCACTTGCCTGCAGGGAATAATGGACAAAGTATTTTAAGATCTATATAATTTTGTATTGTCATGAAAAGAGAAACTTGTTCCCTAATTCTGAAACCTTTTTTCCCCTCCCTCCTCCTTCCCTTCCCCCTCCTTCCCTTTCTTCCTTTCTTTTTCCTTTCAAGAAAACATGTAAATCTTGAGATCTTACATCGGGTCACCCAAATATGATAGAAGTGATGTGGCAATAATACTTGATGAGATTAAAACAGAAAATATGTGAAAAAATTTAATATCAGCTTGGCATTTGCCTCATCAGTTTTCAAAACTATGGAGGGTTGACCTTCTGAATACTGTAATAGAAATCTTTTTAAAATACCTAAGTGGTTTACAAGGTGATACACTTTTCTTAAAATCAACCAAATAAATTCTGATTTACACTTTTTGTATTAACATTCCTTAGGGATTATATTGTCAGGATGTTGTCTCAAGTGGACAGTTGACAGTCTTGATGAAACATGTATTAAGTGTCAGCAATTTTTGATCTTTAATATTTTAGAAATACAGGTAGTGCTTATTGATAGGAGTGGTAATCTATAATGTATATGCTATGATATAATGTGATATAATATGACATCTTTATATATAAAATCTTTCTATATATTTATATATATAAAATCTTTACTTATAGGGTTGATGTTATTAACTTGCCCTCTTCAGAAGAGTGTTTAAGTTTTTACAATTGTTGATAGATGTTCATTGAGCCAGCTGTTTTCTCTTATTTATCATAAGACTTCTAATATGAGGGGGCACCTGGGTGGCACAGTTGGTTAAACGTCTGATTCTAGATTTCAGCTCAGGTCATGATCTCAGGGTCATGAGATCCAGCCCTGCACTGGGCTGCACGCTCAGTGCGGAGTCAGCTTGAGATCCTCTCCCTCTGCCTCCCTCCCCCACCCCACTAATAGAGCTTCCTTTCTCTCTTTCCTTCAAATAAATAAAATAAATCTTAAAAAAAAAAAAAAGACTTCTAGTAATGAGATTGTTCCCCAAGATTGGGGAAACCATGAGGTATTGTTTTCTCTCTGAGAAGCTAATGGGTTCATTCAGATGGAGATAGGATTAATGCTATCCTCGTTTGTAGTTGGGGAGGAGAATGAGTGATAGCATGTCACTTGTAATGCATAATTCCCAAATGTATTTTGACTTCTACTTCCAGTACCCTTCTCCATCACGCTTTTTGCTTAGGTTTTTGAGAAGTAGCAGAGGGGCACTTGGCTGGCTTAGTCAGTAGAGCATGTGACTCTTGATCTCGGGGTTGTAAGTTTGAGCCTCATGTTGGGTGGTGTAGAGATTACTTTAAAATCTTGAAACAAATAAGAGAAGTAGCAGAATTTAAGCTTTTCTTATTCCTGACCGAAATCTCCAAATATTTTACAAGTAGTGAACTGACAACCTAACAATGGCAAAAAAGTAAAAGTTACCATTAGTACTGGATAATTAAAACTTGGCTATTTCCATGATAGAATTTATAGTCTGACTATTGTTATAGTTTATTTATCTGTGTGTGGTTCTCTCCAACTATATTGTCAACACCAGTATTGTTTATATTTATAGTCTTAATTGCCTAGCTCCAATTATAGTGCTTTACACAGAGTAGGAACTCAGTAAATGTTTATAGAATTCAGTTCAGTAAACAGTCCCTTTTAAGACTACATTAACATTTTCAGAATATGAATGTACCATTCAATAAATTATCTGTCCTTGCATATTAACTGATTCCTTGGCATTTGTGTAAAGTAAGTAGTTTATGGTTTTCTAGTAGTTTTGTAACCTGTAACTCGCCTTTTTAAAAAATTTTAATTCCAATATAGTTAACATACAGTGTTATATTAGTTTCAGGTTTACAGTATAGTGGTTCAACAATTCTGTTACTCAGTGTTCATCAAGATAAGTGTACTCTTACTTCCCTTTACCTATTTTACCCATCCCTCCACTCACCTCCCCTCTGGTAACATCTGTTTGTTCTCTATAGTATAATTTTCCTTTTAACCCCTTACTTTAAAATACTATTTAGAAGGAAATAGAATTAGTTGAAGCCTTTCACGATATTTTAGGTGAATAGTCTTATTCCTTCCCATCCCCAGACAGTCTTATTGCAACTACCTTGTGCACCATCATGATTTACAAACCTGTGCCTTTATTTCCAGCCTCTCATCAAGACCCCAGACCCATTTATCAGTGAGATATCAATCATCCACTGCTGAAACTGTATCCTCTTGAGATCTTCCTTACCTCAGCAAATGTCTCTAATGAGGAACACTTAACATTATTTGTCCCTTTGCCCTGTTTAGAAACCACAGATACATCCAGATTACACCTTCCTTCATAATCCTCATTTAGTTTTTAAATCCTGTCTCTATATTCTACTTCTTAAAGCCCTTGTTTTTGCCACCTTCCTTTCTGCCCCCACCAGGACAGCTTTAATTCAGATCCTTACCACCTTTTATCTAGATGATTCTTCATCTCTTTCGCACTGGCCTCTGTGTTCATTATTGCTCTTTTTCCAGTTTATCCTCCATGTAGTGGACCTATGACATTTCTCTCCCTAAAACCTATTAATGGTACTCCAGGCTAAAATCTGGGTGCCTCAGTTTGTCCACCTGCCCGGCCTCATTTACACCATGTCTTTTGTGTATTTGACACTCCAGTAGTATTGCACTACCTATGGTTGACTCCCTCCCACACTCAGACTTTTTTTACCCCTTATGCTTTTGCTTGTTATGTTCCATCTTTCTGAAATGATGTTCTTCCATAATCTCATTGGAAGTATTTCTTTTTCATCTTGAAAGACCCTACAGAGCTCATGGCTTCTCTATAAAACTTTCCATGAGATACAGCCCACCTACTCTGATAAACTTAATCATTTCTTCCTTTGTGCTGTTTCTGAACCTTGCACCTCTTTTATTGTATGTATAATGCATTATTATAAACATTATTATTTTCATATCTCCTTTTAGGTTGAGAACGAAGATTTTGCTTTTATCTTCATGAAGTAGGGAATTTTCATCACAATTACCGCAGCGCCTGGCACACAATAGGAGCTCAATAAATATTAGTCAAGCTGAATTATTGAGTAAAAGAAAGTAGGGGTGCCTGGGTGGCTCAGTCGGTTAAGCGGCTGCCTTCGGCTCAGGTCATAATCCCAGGGTCCTGGGATCAAGCCCTGCATCGTGCTCCCTGCTCAGCGGACAGCCTGCTTCTCCCTCTCCCACTCCCCCTACTTGTGTTCCTGCTCTCGCTGTCTCTCTCTCTGTCAAATAAATAAATAAAATCTTAAAAAAAAAAAGTTGACGATTAGATAGCAAGTATATCTGGACAGTCTGGGTTATGCTACAGTAACAAAAATACCCCATATCTCTGCGGATGAAAATAGACATTTTATTTCTCACACGGAAGTCCCTAGTGGGTCTAGTAGTCCAAGATCCAGGCTGTTTACATTTGTGTTACTACATTCTCTACATTCTCAACATTTCTATTACCATGGGAAAGAGTCACACAGTTAGTTCATAAGTTAGACTTGAAGCAACACCTGTCACTTCCATTCACAACCCAGTGGCCAACACTGGTGATGTAGCTCTCTGTGCCTTTGCAAGGGGGCTGTGTAGGAGAGCACAAGGCTACTGGGTGAGTAGTAACTGTCTCCGCCTTACTAAATATAAAAGGTCCTTTTGTAAATACAACATTTTGAAAAGACTAAATAAATAGAAGGCACTGTTTTCATCCTTAGGGAAGTTATGATCTAGTTGGGAGGAGAGAAAAGGCTTATAATTTGAGAATTGTCCCTATCAAGAAATACAACTGGAATACTCTTCACCTCATGGCTTTGTTTTTAGAAATAGATAATGAGTTTGTTCAGACTGCACATCTTAAGAATTGTTCTAGGGGGTAGGCACTGCTGGTGCAGTTGGTGAAGCATGTGACTCTTGATCTTGGGGTCGTGAGTTCAATCCCTATGGTTGAGTGTGATTACCTAAATAAATAAATCTTTTTTAAGAATTGTCCTAGAGTAAAAAACTAAAGTGCTGAGAGGATGTAAAACAAGTGGGAAGAAGAGATCGCATATCAATTTTGAGGGACAATAGCTTCTTGGCCTTTTGACTAAGATCGAGTGACTTTTGAGGGACAAGGTTTATTTGGTATTGAGTTTTAGAATTGTCTAATAAAACTGCTTTTGTAGTAATTGTCTTTTTTTTAAAGTATTGTCTGATATCACTCTAGTGATACATTTTTTTAATGTTAAGTTTTCAATTCTTTCTTCTTTCTTAACAGGGACATTTTTGAAGAAGATAATTATAGCCCCATCCCTATTGTTAATGAAGAAGAATATAAAGTAGTCATCAGTAAATTTCCCTTTCAAGATCCAGACCTTGAAAAGGTACAAGCTAGTTTTTAATTCAAGAATTTGTTAAACATAAATTCATAATAGTTATTGCTACATAATATTGACCTGACATTGTAAGTGAGAGTGGCTTCTTTTGAGGCTTTTGTTGTTGTTGTTGTTGTGTTATTTGAGAAAATCAATTATGTTTTGTTAACTTTTAAAGATTATGTTACTACTACTACTACAACTACTGCTGTTTCTGTGAAGTTAAGAAGGGACTTTCCTGGGGATACTATGAGCAGTTGTCCCAAATGTTAGGTGAATTCCCAGGACAGGTATTAGTAACATTATGTGGATTCCAAATTAGTTAAAGTAACTGTTGAGTAGATTAAAGGAATAAGAGTATATTCTCGGGAAAGAGAGGAGAATTTATTTGAAATTTTCATCTTGTAGAAGATCTTATTTTGTGTTTTCTTTTCTAGAAATATACTTCTGCAAAAAGTTTATCTTGGTTAAATAAGAGGTGTATGAAGGCAATTGCCACTGTAGATTTTTTGTTTAAGTAGGAATGTGTATTTTTGTAGGCAAGATGTCTGAACAAAAGACATGATAGAGAAAGAAAATAGGCCAGCATGTAGAGTATTGTGGGAATACACATGATTGCACATGTGTGGTCATACCTGCACACAAGCACAGAATTGTACCTATCCAGTATCTCTGGGTAGAATCAGATCTCCTGGGAAAAGGGTATCATATTTTCTGTTATTGTCACTTTTTTATTCTTTTTTTTCTCTTTACTTTTCTTAATTATTTTCCAACTCTTTATAATTTAGTTCTTCTCTACGTTTTTATTTCTTCACAATGAAGAACAAAAGTGAATTTTGAGTGAATTGTGTGAACTGTGACTGTAAATTTTTATTTTTTTATATACATAAACTAGGCATATTATGTGTAATGTCACTAAATATAGGACCACGTAATAAAATGCATAGCTTTTAGATTATAGCTAAGACTGCCACTACATACACATAGTAGTTGTCTTCTAATACACACAAAAGACCAGAATATTCTACATGTCGTAGCTTGGTTTCATTTGTTTTAGTTACTGGTAGTAAGTTTGTTCAGGCTATAGCGTCTGTGTAAAGAACACTGGATTTGATCCAGGTTCACATGCCAGCTGCCTGTGACTTATGATGGGCAGATGACTTACCCTATTTGGGCATTTATGCCATATCTGTCAAATGAGAAGGTTGAACTAAATAATCTCTAATGTCCTTTCTAATTACATTAATTTTATTCTAAATAGGTTTATAGTTAAAAGGAAGTTTGACTTTGCTTATAGGGTGCTTCCCAAATATGTAGTACCTCTTAGTATTAAGCTTGTTAGGAGTTGTATTCATTGGTTCATATATTATTAAAAAGAACTAATGTTGAAGTAAAAGCTACATGGAAAATTTAAATGTGTAAACTTAAAGAGAAATCTCATTAAGTTATTTAGTATCATTTAGTATCATTGGATATACTCCATATTTTTCCTAATTTGAATATAATTTTCAATTAAAACTATTAGAAAAGATGTAAAACTCTCAAATAACTATATTTTCAGTGTAAATTATATGTGAACAAGTAGTAAGACTGGATATATATGCAAAGATCTGTCTTTTTGCAGATAACTGTGCTACTTTGATTAGAACCTTTTGGCTAAAACAAGAACATATTCATATTGTCTTTAATGTCATTAAAATAAATTCTTAAAGCTCAAATGTCTTTCGAATAATATTAGGTTCATTATTCTCTAGACCATAAATTGGAGGTGAGTTAGCACTTGCATTATTATCAGGTGATTTTAAAGAATAGCAACTTTTTGGTTGGTTTTTGTAGTACTTCTGATTGAGTCACTAAATTTGGGAAGGTTGGACCTACCAGTTCTGGAGAGACACTGCTGTATATGGATGTTTTCATTACCAGCCAGTTGTAAGTTTCTTTTGCTGGAATACCTAAGAATACCTTTGTTCATTCAGATATTTATCAGTCACCTGCTATATAGTAGACACTGTGCTATTTGGTGGTTTTTATTTTTCTGCTGTCAAGGAGCTTATAGTTATGTGAGGGATAAACAGGACATTACAATTCACAGAATTTGGCACTCCTTAAGATAGAGGAAGCAGCATGTAGAAAGGCTCTAATTCTGTAGTATAAAGTGCAAGGTTGATAAAGTACAAGAAATGAAGATCAAGAAATGAAGATGAAGTAGAAAGGGCCAGACTATAATAGCCCTTGTAAACAGTGTTAGAGAGTTCAGCCTTTATCCTGAGGACTACTGAGAAGTCACAACAGGGTTTTAAGCAGTAAAACCATAATCACATTTGTGCTTTAGAAAGATCTCTCGGGGGTGCCCGAGTGGCTCAGTCAGTTAAGCATCCGACTCTTGATTTCATCTCAGGTCATGATCTCAGGGTCATGAGATCGAGCCCTGGGATGGGCTCTGGCTGAGCATGGAGACTGCTTAAGATTCTCTCTCAGCCCCCGCTGCCCCACTCATGCTCTCTTTCTCTCTAAAAAAAAGAAAGAAAGAAAAGGAAGGAAGGGAGGGAGGAAGCAAAGAAGGAAAGAAGGAAGAAAGGAAGGAAGGAAGGAGAGAGAGGGAAGACGGGAAGGAAGATGATAGATAGATAGAGAGAGAGAGAGAGAGAGATCGGGTCGATCTCCCTGGCTAATGTGTGGAGAATGGATTGGAGACTAGTGGCTGGGAGACCAGCAAGGGGATTGTTGCAGTTATCTCGGTAAGAGAGATTGCTGACCTGAGTGGGAGTTACTGCCGTGGAATTTGATTTAAGAGATGTTTAGGAGGAGAGAACAACAGGAATTGGTGATTATTTGCATATGAGTGATGATGAGGATAGAGGGGTCAAGTATGATAGCCAAGTTTCAGCCTTAAAGATGGTAGCATTCACTAAGATAGGAAACACAGGAAGAGCAGATTTAGAAGGAAAGGATAATTTCACTGTTAGATCTACTGAGTATGTCCCAAATGTCACAGCCAAATGGAAGTGTCCAAGTGGTAGTTAGATATATGGATTTGGACTTCAGGAGAGTTAGCCTGGAGTTGTAGATTTGGGAGATAATAGTACTTGCAAGGTGGCTGAAGTCATGAGATTAGATGAGATCATCCAAGGACAGTATGTGTGGTAAGAAGAGAAGACATGGGATAGAACCCTAAAGCATAGCAGTAATTTTAAGAGATGGCTAGAGGAAGAGATACAGAGAAGCTAGAGAAATAAGAGGAAAATCAGTTTGCGACATGGATGCCAAAGAAGGAGAGATCATTTAAGAAGCAGGAGGGAGCTAACTCTGTCAGATACTTTAGATAAATCAGCTAACAAGAGAGCTGGAGAAGTCCATTGGATTTAACCTCTACAAGGTCATTAGACACGGTGAGTGAGGGTACTTGCACTGGTTTAACTAGGTTGCAACAAATGTGAAGATAGAAGTATAGATTAGAATTCATTAAGTACAAATAGGGGCTTTTGGTAAAAATCTTGGAGAGAATTTACCTTTTAGAGACTGAGAATTTGCTAATAGATGTTGGCTGATAAAAGCAGTTTAGCCAAGGGGCGCCTGGGTGGCTGAGTCGGTTAAGCGACTGCCTTCGGCTCAGGTCATGATCCTGGAGTCCTGGGATCGAGTTCCGCATCGGGCTCCCTGCTCAGCCGGGAGTCTGCTTCTCCCTCTGACCCTCCCCGCTCTCATGTGCTCTCTCTCTCTCATTCTGTCTCAAATAAATAAATAAAATCTTTAAAAAAAAAAAAAAGCTGTTTAGCCAAAAGGCACTTTACTGCACTGCTGTAAGGTACTGTAGGAGTGGGGCACCTGGGTGGCTCAGTCGTTAAGCGTCTGCCTTAGGCTCAGGTTATGATCCCAAGGTCCTGGGATCGAGCCCCAAATCGGGCTCCCTGCTCAGCGGGAAACCTGCTTCTCCCTCTCCCACTCCCCCTGCTTGTGTTCCCTCTCTCACTGTGTCTCTCTCTGTCAAATAAATAAAATCTTAAAAAAAAAAAAGGTACTGTAGGAGTTAATGGAATAAAATGGATATCTTGTTGAATTGGTGTCAAGCCTTCACCGAAGGGGAGTGAGGGGAATCTTTAGAATTAATTGATGATACTAAGCTAGGAAGATGGCCCATAACTTTCATGGCCAACCTAACTCTTGTATTATGAATGCAAGTCAACAGACAGCTAGGCATCTTTTGCAGGAATCTTATCATCAGAACATACAATGGTATTGATATATGCTTTCTCTGCTTCTTAGAAGTTTGATTATATGATTTAAGAGACAGGTCAATTGTCACTTTATTTTCTTCAGAAGTATTTTGGTTTGGGGCGCCTGGGTGGCTCAGTCGGTTAAGTGTCTGCGTTCAGCTCAGGTCATGATCCAGGTCCTGGGATCAAGTCCCACGTCGGGCTCCCTGTTCAGCGAGTCTGCTTCTCTCTCTTTCTCTCCCTTTGCCCTTTCGTCCCACTCGTTCTCTCTCTCTCTCAAATAAGTAAATAAAATCTTAGAAAAAAGAGAAGTATTTTGGTTTTCTTTAGAATCCTAAGCATAACAGAGAAATATAATAGTAGACTTTGAGATGCTGTTATTTCCTATTCAAATGTATAAGCAATTTAATTTTTATATTTTTAGGTGATTAGAATATCTTTTTCTAAAATTTCAAAAGCAATATTAACTTTGTTTTTCTTTCTACAGCAATCTTTCCCAAAGAAATTTCCCATGTCTCAGTCAGTGCCTCATATTTACATTCAAGTTAAAGAATTTATTTATGCTAGCCTTAAATTTTCAGAGTCACTTCACCGGAGGTAAGTTTACTAACAAGAAATATATCTTTATCATAGCTATTTTTATGAAACATTAACACTTGATTTTCAGGCCTTGATTCTTTAATGGATTATTATCTCATTGGAAAGGCTTACATATTTTAGCAACATTGAGGTTAAGTTGCTGTAAATTTGATGTTACATATTTTTTTTACTTTCTATAATGTACATCCTCACACTTACAGAAAAATAGAGATTGGAAACTCCTGTGTTCAATAATAAACGTTTTGCCATATTTTCTTAATTATTTTTGCTTAAGTATTTTATTTTTTAAAGAGATTTTATTTATTTGAGAGAGAAAAAGAGAGAGAGAGAGCGCACACGTACCCAAGGGGTGGCCAGGGGGAATCTCAAGCAGACTCTGTATTCAGCATGGAGCCCCACATGGGGCCCATATCATGACCCTAAGATCATGACCTGAGCTGAAATCAAGAGTTGCACGTAACCGACTGAGCCATCCAGGCACCCCTTCGCTAAGTATCTGAAAAAGCAGATTCCAGAAATAATGACATATTACCCCTAGAAACAGTATGCGTTTCTCAAAAAATAAAGGCATTTCATTATTTAACCATCACACTTAACAAAATTAATACTATTCCATAATATCAATTCCCTAGTCCATATCACTATTTTCTTGATTGTCCCCAAGATGTCTTTTTACCATTGGTATGTTTGTTTGCTAATAAGAGTTTGCTGCTGTTACTCTTTTTAGAATTTTTTTATTAAGTTTTTAATTTTAATTCCAGTATAGTTAATATACAGTGTTATATTAGTTTCAAGCTTTCAGTGTAGTGATTGAGCAGTTCTATACATTACTCAGTGCTCATTATAAGTGTACTCTTTAATCCCCTTCACCTATTTCACCCATCCCCCCTCTGATAACCATCAGTTTGTTCTCTTTTTTTCCTTTGCTTGTTTGTTTTGTTTCTTAAATCCCACATATGAGTGAAATCATACGGTATTTGTCTGTCTTTGACTGACTTATTTCACTTAGCATTAAACTCTTTGGCTCCATCCATGTTGTTGCAAATGGCAAGATTTCATTCTTTTTTATTGCTGAATAATATTATATATATGTGTGTGTGTGTGTTTGTGTTTGTATATATATATAGCACTTCTTCTTTATCCATTTATCTATCAAGGACACTTGGGCTGCTGTAGTTGGTATATTTGAATCAGGGTCCAAATTCATACAATGGTTGTAAGAATTAAATGAGGTAATGCGGGTGTATAAAGCACTCAGTATAGTAGTGCTTGGCCTATGGTAAGCACATAGTTACTTCAGAGAGGATGGGATACTACAATATTAGATGTGAGACTGGAGCTTGGAGTGTTTATATTTTATTTTGTAAGCATCAGGGAATTGTTGAAGAGTTTTTAAGTAAGGGATGACATTATTAGAGTTACATTCTAGAAAGTTTACTCTGACCTCCATGTAGATGATGGATTGGAGGGGGATAGAAAAAAATAGTCATGTTGAACTGGTGAAGACAGTGGTTCAAGAAGGGAGATGAAGAAAGACTGAAATAGGATCAGTGGTGATGAAGAGGAAGGAACATAAACAAGAAGGATTTAAGAGCCTGATATTACCCTGTACTTGTGAATAATTAGAAGATGAAGTTAAGGGAAGTTAACAATTTGCCCTACCTTTGGGTGGACTTGAATTTGTTTATGTACTCTCAAATAGATTCTGGTTATAGTTAGTCATCTTTGAAAACAGTGATGCATGCATTCATCTGTTCTAAACATATGCATGTGAAAGGGAGAAACAAGAAGTATCTTTTTAACAGTCATCCTACAACTTGGCCTAAATGTTATATTTGAGAGTTATTTTTGAAGCTGCAGTCTTGACTCTATAATATTGGTTTCCCTCATCTTTTACTTTAAATGTAGATTACTTTAACATTTTTAAAATTGGTAGTGTATACAATTTGCATGTCCTAACTCGTACTTTTTATTCCCTAATCTAAATGTTGATTATTGAAAAATAGGACTGATACCTAATTAAGATATTGTTAAACTGTAGAAAGTATAGAAACCTAGCAGTTTGGAATTAACTTTTGTTTTATTTACAGAGAAGAGACATTGGGTATCCAATTGTTATCTGATATTTTTATTGCATTTATAACACCAAAGATGATAAGTATAATTTCCCTAAAGCCTCCCTAATGTCTTACTAGAACTAGAATTGGCACCTCAGTTCTGACTTGGTATGTGAACTCCTACCCTTCTAGGAAGTCAGTGTTGTGGACTAATGCTACAGCAGAAAAGACTGTCAGTTTTTTTCCTCTGTCTTTGACACAAATATTTGTCACTTTTGTTAGTTCAGTATCTAGTCATTCTAATGAACTGTCTATGATCATAAGTTATTCATTCAACAAGGCTTTTTATGTTTATGTTTTTTAAAATTATGCTTTACTAAATACATTGGCTATTTTCATTTTGTTAATAAGAGAATTGACAGTTCAGACTACAGAGACAGCACAGCATAGTTAACTTAAAAATAGGTAAATCTAAATTTATTCTAGATCATCAAGTTTCTGACACATTTTTATTTTAAAAATTTGTATCTGGGGCACCTGGGTGGCTCAGTTGGTTAAGCTACTGCCTTCGGCTCAGGTCATGATCCTGGAGTCCCAGGATCGAGTCCCACATCGGGCTCCCTGCTCAGCGGGGAGTCTGCTTCTCCCTCTGACCCTCCCCCTCTCATGCTCTCGTCTCCCATTCTCTCTCTCAGATAAATAAATAAAACCTTTAAAAAAATAAAATAAAATAAAAATAAAAATTTGTATCTGTGAGCTGAAATTGAGCTATTAGAGTTCCTTTGTTTTTTTATTTGTCCTTAAAAAATTATGGAAAAAAAATCACTTTCTGGATTTAAAGCTCTTTTATTATGTTTAAACATATTTGGAGTTTGATTTTTAGAACCAGAAGATGCTTCAGAGCTTTTTAGTACAAATGTTTGGGTTTCTTTTTATATATGAATAAAAGTAGGGCTGGAGAATGAAATGACTTCATGAAGAGACTTCAAAGTCTCAACTATTTGGTCACAGAGGAAGCATCTGGATCTAATATCTATAAGAAATTTTCATTTTGCATAAGAGACTAAGCTATAAAATATTTTAAGAGGTTTATTATAATTAAGATTTAATTATGAAATGTTTTTTAAAATGTAGGAAGAGTACAGGTTATATATAGGCTCAAAGGACAAGGAGTTAAGGAAGAAAATTGCTCAGTTGGGATAAAAACCTGATGGGGGAAATACTAGTCATTGTCAGGTAAATCTTGTTAGCACAAATAGGACATAGGTGCTGATAGTTTTCTTTATCTGCTTTTACTTATGCAAGAAAAAAGTATGCATTGACTCAGCATTCAAGGAAATTCAGGGAAATTAAACAGAAGGCATTATCTGTACTGGATAAGTTTTCATCTGAGAAGTGTGCTATTCAGGATGTCTTTAAGCATAATTTGAGTGTGTCAGAAAAGAAACCATAGGAGTAGGCAACCACCTCTCTTTTTAACAGGGTGAGTACACTGATTGTTCCAGGACACTGTTGATCGATTAGAGTTTTCTGTCTCAGAATTTGATGTCAAGTAACCCTAAAACCCTACTGGTATGTCTGGTAAATCTTGATTTTAGTTGTAAAGAATCAGAGAAATATTCTTTTAGGTATGTCAGAGTTAGGGTTAGCAGATACTGAAAAAAGTGCCTGCATTAAAATGGACAGCATTGGAGTAGTAGTGAGAAGTACCTGTGTTTTGTCAAATCTTGCTCTATTTGCAATTAAAAAATAAATATAAACTAGTAAATATCTGTGCTTCATAGATTATTAAGAGTAATGTTTTTTTAAATTTTTTATTGTTATGTTAATCACCATACAGTACATCATTAGTTTTTGATGTAGAGGAGTAATGTTTTTAATAAAGGAGAAAGGATGCTAAAATTTTAGTCTCTGTAGCAGCTGGAGTAATTCCACCCCGAGCCCGTAGGTACTTTGGCAATGTCTTTGGGCTGTTACAACTTAGGGGGAAGGGTGCTACTTGCATCTAGTGGGTAGAGGCCAGGAACGCTGCTAAACATCCTTCAAAGCACAGGAGAGCCTCACAACAAAGAGTTATCTTGCCTGAAATGTTAATAGTGCTAAGACTGAGAAAACTTAGTCTAAGGACAGCTTAATCGTTTTGTAATGAAGCTATATATATTAATATATATATGAAGAAGTTGTTGTTTACTTCAATTGAAGTCCTCGTGGTTAGGAGAAGATAAAAAGTTTGTTAGTGCTAGCCTAGCAATCTTTAGAATGTTAAGAAATATCAGAGTTTTCTTTGCACCAAATTAAAACTAGTGTAAGGTAATTATGTTTGTTTCTTTGAGTCTTTTAAAAAAAATCTCAGTGGACATGGATAATTTAGTTATATTAAAGTTAAATCTAGTAATTAATCATATCTAGAAAGAGCTCACATTAATTTGCATTTAAAAAGAATTTTAGCTATAGTTGTATTTGAAGTGTCTTTGGAAGTGTCCCATAGTGGAGTCATAATTTAAGAATAATTTTATTTCCTTATACTAAGTACCCATGGTTTTACTCTAATGGTGAATGGAATACATTTAAATTATGCCATAAATGAACATTCTACTTTGTTGAAAATGTCGCTTTTGTGACAGAATTGTATTTGGGGATTTAATAAATCTGGGTAATTTATTTAAAGATATAAAAGAATGAGGTGGGGCAAATTATTTTAGTAAACTGTTAAATCATTTAGGAAGCTAACTGTACCTTTGTGGAAAGCAAAATAATAATCAACCTTTATTTTTAGCTCAACAGAAATAGATGATATGCTTAGAAAATCTACAAATCTGCTGCTGACCAGAACTTTGAGTAGCTGTTTACTGAACCTTATTAGAAAACCTCATATAGGTTTGACAGAGGTAGGTTAAAAAAATACTTAATAGCTAAATCTTTCATTATATGAAAAAAACTGTATGAATTAAGTTATTGCTAAACATCATCCTGTAAAACTAGCTTTCTATTTTATTTTTTTAATTTATTTTTATTTTTTAAAAGATTTTATTTATTTGAGAGAGAGAGAGTGAGAGAGAGAGTGCACGAGAGGGGGTAGGGTCAGAGGGAGAGCCACTCCCCACCGAGCAGGGAGCTCGATGTGGGACTTGATCCCAGGACTCCAGGATCATGACCTGAGCTGAAGGCAGTCGCTTAACCAACTGAGCCACCCAGGCACCCCGTAATTTATTTTATTTTTAAAGATTTATTTATTTATTTTAGAGAGAGAGAGGGTGCAGGCGTGTGGGGGGGAGGGGCCGAAGTAGAGGAAGAGGGAGAGAGAATCTCCAGCAGACTCCCTGCTGAACATAGAGCTCCACCCGGGGGCTTGATCTCACAACCCTGAGATCATGACCTGAGCCGAAATCAAGAGTCAGATTCTTAACCAACTGAGCCACCCAGGTGCCCCATCTGTTTTAAATTTATTAGTAGAAGTGGATTTGTTTCGTCAGGGTAAATTCAAGCCATGTGAGGGGCAAGGGTTTACATGGAGAGTTGTCGGTAGTTGAAGATGTTAGAGCATATATGTAGATTTATGATTGCCAGATTTTATATGAAAAGTGAAAATACTCATTTTTTACTTGGTAAATGTATAAAATTTGGAAAAGTACTTTTAAGAGTTATTCTAAGTTAGGGCGCCTGGGTGGCTCAGATGGTTAAGCGTCTGCCTTCGGCTCAGGTCATGATCCCAGGGTCCTGGGATCGAGTCCCGCATCAGGCTCCCTGCTCCTTGGGAGCCTGCTTCTCTCTCTCTCTCTCTCTCTCTCCCTCTCATGAATAAATAAATAAAATCTTAAAAAATAATAATAATAAAAAAAGTTATTCTAAGTTAATTGGCAGTTAGATTCTTGATTTTTCTTTTAAAGGACAGCATTCATAGTATTTGCAGCAGGCTTTTGAAATCAGATAATCCCTTGTATCCTATAAAGCTGTAATTATGCAGAAATGGTACAGTTGCTGAAAGTAATTCATTTTCAAAAATGAAATGATTTTGTGTACATGTAACCTGCATTTTAACAGATATATTTTGTATTTTCTAGCTAGTGCAGATCATCATAAACACAACACACTTGGAACAAGCTTGCAAATACCTTGAGGACTTTATAACTAACATTACAAACATTTCTCAAGAGACTGTTCATACCACAAGACTTTATGGACTTTCTACTTTTAAGGTATGTAAAAATCTGACCAAAAAGTTTTATTTCCATTACTGTAAGCAAACTTTTAAAAATTAAAGACAACTTTTATCATACATTTGATTCCATTGTATTCTGAGCAGCTGAAAATTAGAGATAATCATTGTCAACAAGCAGATAAATGTCAGCTTCCTTTTGGCATTTTAAACATCTTCACTAAAATGGAGAAAAATATATTGATTTTCTACAGCGATATTACACTTTGTTCATGTTTTGAAGACTTACAGTATTGCTAAGTCAGCCTAACTGGATTTCCATTAATGTCTCACAGTTCCATAATTAATTTTATATGTAATGTGTATACATGTGTGTTTGGAAATTAAAAATGTAAGATGAAATAGATAAGGTAAGGCTAGCTTTATATCCTTTATTAACTCTGATCTGAAGAAAAATAAATATTACCTTATTGTATGTTACTAAGTCCTACTTTATTCTGAATGGAAAGATTTCTGTTTACATAATACTGTGTGATATCCCAAAAGATTAATTAATGGTTGTTTTAAGGAGAATGGAAGATTAAATAATTTCATTAATTTGTTTTATAAACTATTTTATAATTTTATTGATTTGGGATCATGTAGATGAGACCCTTGCATAGTCTAGTAATATAAATCCCTTTTCATTGAGTAGTTTATTAAATTAATATAAACCACTTACTGATCTCATCTTTAAAATAGGCTGGCTAGTTTAATTTTTTTTTAAAGATTTTATTTATTTGATAGAGAAAGCCTGAGCAGAGGAGAGGGGCAGAGGAGAAGCAGGCTTCCCAACGAGCAGGGAACCTGAGCAGGGAGCCGAATGTGGGGCTCAGTCCCAGGACCCTGAGCTCATGACCTGAGCTGAAGGCAGGTGCTTAATCGACTGAGCCACCCAGGTGCCCCTAGTCTGGCTAGTTTAACCTCATAGCCCTTTCTAAGTTTTTTATTAAAGAGTTCCCATGTTTTTACTCTTGATATACTATAAATTACCTACCTTGTCTCCTATAATTATAGTACAATCATTTACATTTAAAAAATTAAGTATCCTTTTATTTAGAAATAACTAATGTTAACAGTAACCACACTTCGAAAGTGTGAAGTCCAGAAATGACTCTTAGCCCCTAAAATTATCTGGCTGGTCCCCAAATCTTAATGTTTTTCTGGTGATTCTTGAGCTCCTATAGTCATCCTAATACATAAGGCACAAATGCAGATGATATCTGAGTGAGCAGATAAAGTTTGTTATTAAAACTGAGACAGAAACTTGACAAAGCAGGCATTCGTTTATTCAGATAGGATAGTATAGTAATTAAGGGCAGTATACTCTGGAGTTAGACTACTGTGTGACTTTGGGCACATTCTTCAACTGTAATGTTTCCCAGGTTTTTTCTATAAAATTTGAGTAGTAATGTATAACCTACATCATACAATTATTATGAAGTTTAAAGGGGATACTTAGCATAGTTGTTGTACATCATCTATGCTCTGAGCGCTCTGTTAGGTGCTGAGAATATTAAAATATATATCCCTGCCCTCGAGAAGCTCATAGGAGAGAAAACTGTAAAAAGACACTTGACAATATGGTGTGATAAGTACTATAACATGGGAGGAAAGTCCACAAGTTTTTGTACACTTTTCTAATCCAGTGACAAATTCTTTTCTTTCATATTAGATTTTACACAATCTTTCTTCTTTTTCATTATTTTCTGTCCATAATTATGTCCATGTGTTACTCATATACTGTCAAGAAGAGATTTACTAAAGACTGGAGTTGTAAGCATATTTAACTGTTAACATTAAATTTAACAAACTTACTCTGTACTCTCATTAAAACATGAATTGCCTTGACATCTGGTATATCTAGGGATTTTCAAGCAAATTTTCTTTTCATTTATAAGTCAAAGAACCAAGACACTGGAACATGATGTTTTTAGATTAAGGGATCTTGGAATTATACTTTCCCAAATCTGCCTGTTTGGAGGGAATGTTTAGTAATGTTAGCTCTGGTTCATCATTCCAGTGGTCCCTTAAGTTATAGATATTTAGTTGAAACTACAGTTGCTATAGAATACCCCTTGGGTTTTCTTGGAAATCAGGAAATCAAGTGCAGCCTGTACAAATAGTAGAGCATCCTTGTTTTTTGTTGTTTGTTTTGTTTTCACACAGAACTCAGGAAACCCTTTCTGTTTTATGATACAAGAACAAGAACTGTGCTCATTTCTACCTTTTGTCTGTTTCAAGAGGAATTTGTCTTAAACTGTGATACAAGGAAGCAATTCAACAGTGAGAATTATTAAATCAATATTGAAGTGAATTATTGAGTGAGATTGGGGGGAATTTCCATTCCTAGGGAATAGTCAGTCTATTACCTCTTTCACAGAGCTGATTAAAGTACAGTCTTGATTACCGACTTTAGCATGGATTGCTTATTTAACCTCCTAGCCTAATTCTTTTCAGTCCAGTGACCCTAGCAAACATATTCCTATTTAGTTGCCCAATGATTATGGAAATAAGCATTTAACAGTTCTTTTAACCACACCTCCATTTGTTTCCCCTCCAAGAGCACAGATGCACACACAAAGTGCTTGATTTTTCCACATTTGCTTACTTTATGAAATATCATATAAACTCTCTTGTTAGCAGGCCTTTCATTTTGCTAAATCTGTGAGTGATACAAAAGAGGTTAAGTAACTAGTTCTACCCTCAAGCAGTACCTCAGCTTTTTGAAATTAACCTGGAACCACACTGAGAGCTGCTTTAAGACTTCTGACTGAAAAGATTTGCATCAGAATGGAGGGGAAAAATGGGAATACCATTACCTTTTTAATCTATAAAGTAGAGAAATGGCCTAGTTCTTTTTCTTTGGCATCAGAGCTCTTTAACTTTGCTCCAGGGAGTTTTTCCAACCTGCCACTCTAAAGAGGCCTGGCAGTGATTCCAACTGTAAGTGCCTAGATGGAATATGCTTCTGATTCTTTTTCTAATTTGCCTTTTTAAAGTCTGTTGATGACTGTGTAGCAAAGTTTTTTTTAGAATTATGGTTAAAGTGACAGTGGTAAGTGGTTTTTGATCAAGAGCTTGAAATTCTCATCCTATAGAGCAAGGACATGGGACATGGACTTTTACAAAATCTAAATTAAGTGTAACATGTATATATAAGCATGCACAATTTATAAATGCAAAAATTATAAATCTGTATAGCTCAACTAATTATTAAGAGGTAAATACAGACTTTTAGTTTCCATTCTGGTATGCAAAGAGCTTGGAAGTTGTCACTCTATCCTGACAAATAAAAAACTGAGAAAACTGAAAAAATTAACAGCCTTTCTTTGATCTATCAGAGAAGTGAGATCACAGGGCAAACTGCTCGCCCCCAAATTGGAGAGAGACAGACTGAAAAATACAGAGAACCACAACTTAATGGACAGAAACTTCTGCAGGAATCAGTATTGGAAAACCTGAACTGTAGTTGACAAATTGCTGGAGGCTCAGTGTGGACAAGTTAGGGAGTTAAAACTCAAGGGGGACCCAATCTAGGTGGGGCTCACACTTTTGTGAGTTGTCCGTCCTGGAGCTCTACCAGCTTCTTCCAGTGAAGACTGAAGAATAATCTTCTTGTGCTTCCAGTAGTGGGGAAGGAAAAGGAACCATTTTGAAATACACCAGAGCATTCTGTTCTTCAAGTAGTCTATTCTTAACAAGACCTATCCTCAAAAGAAACTATGTACCAGTGCCTGAACTATTGGGGTTTTATCAGAACCTAACCAGATTGGGGGAAGGGAAATACGCAACTCCAGCTGCTATAGCCATCCTGTTCCACCAAAGGGGTAGAAATGAGAAGCACTTGTGAAGTTTATAGCCAAGGGGCAAAGCTTACTTAAAGACTGTGACCCAGTCAACTATACTTAAATAATAAAAATTTAAAAAACAAAACAAAACAAAAAACCTGTGACCATAATCATGACTCTAAAGCACTTCCTCTCCCCTTACACCTTACCACCACATTACTAAAGTCTTATTTACTGCAGTTCCTTTCACCTAGTACATCATGTCTGACTGTTAAGAAAAATTTCATGGAAGACTAAAAGGCAAAAAACACAGTTTGAAGAGGTAGAGTAAGTATTGGAACCAGATTCAGATATGTCAGGGATATTAGAATTATCAGATGGGGAATTTTTTAAAAATTATGATTAATATGCTAAGGACATAATGGATAATGTAGACAATATGAAAGAACAGGTGGGTAATGTAAGCAGAGAGATGGAAAGTCTAAGAAAGAATCAAAAGGCTAGAGATCAAAAGCAATATAACAGAAATGAAGAATGCCTTTGATGCACTCATTAGTACAGTAGACACAGCTGAGGAAAGAATCTCTGAGCTTGGGGATATGTCAATAGAAACTTCCAAAACAGAGAGGCAAAGAGAAAAAAATTCTAAAAAAAAAATTAAACAATATCCAAGAATTGTGGGATAACTACAAAAGGTAAACATATACAGAATGGGAATATGTTTAGGAGAAAAAAGAAAGGGACAGAAGCAATATTTGATGCAGTAGTGTGAGAATTTCCCCAAATTAATGTCAGACACTACTAAACCATGGATCCAGAAAGCTTAGAAAACAGCAAGCAGGATAAATTAAAAAAAATTACACCTAGGCATATCATATTCAAACTGCACAGAATTAAAGATAATCCTGAAAGAAGCCAGAAGGAAAAACAGCTTACCTAGAGTTAACAAAAATAAGAATTACATCTGACTTCTCTTTGTAAAACATGCAAGCAAGAAGAGAATGGAGTGAAATATTTAAACTATTGAGAAAAAAACACCCACCAACCTAGAATTTTATATCCTTTGAAATTATCCTTCAAAAGTGAAGGAGAAAGATTCTCTCAGACAAACAAAAATTAAGGACATTAGTGGTTAGTAGACCTGCCTTGTAAGAAGTGTTAAAATAACTTCTTCAGAGATAAAGAAAATGATCTAGGTCAGGAACTCAGG